TACAACTTCAAAGTTCATTGTTTGGTTTGGACTGGATTGGATCTACTGTTACAAAGGACCAATAAACTCACGTTTACTATCTTGTTTAAAAGAGTCATAGTAGCTGCATTCCCGTCCAGTATTTGACATAATTTGTGAAAAAACTTCATCCTCACTCATACTTGTTTAGACTTAAACGTGTACTGTGACACATACCCAGATCGCGTGTAACAGTTTGCGTTTGCAGTAATTTCAAGGAATTTGTCAAATTTTCTGTTGCTCAGGGTCGCAATTGCTTCATATTTACAAAAATCCTGAGGAAAATGAAATGATAAAGATCTACATTGTACAAAGAGGCAGTGGCAAATCTTGTGCTCGCATCACAGTTTCTACTTAACATAAAGGAAAATTTTAAAACGTCACCTATATTTACTTTCCCGTAAATAAGCTGCCGGCCTTCCATTTTTTTATGGTGGGACCATCGAGAGTGGCTTCCTCTTCGCCAGCAGAGTTACCTTGTAAATCAAAAAGCTTTTCCCTGATTGATCGAACAGTGGTCAAAAAATCTGGTGTCATACTTTTTTGCCATTGCACTTGGTAGAACAGCTTGAGTTTCCTTCTATCGTGGGGCGATTGGCAAAAATTGAGTCAACCGCAAGGAATCTGCTGCTTGGAATGAACTTGGATTGTACGTATTGCTGACTACTGTAATAAGTCCAGGTTTAATTTTGTCAGTTGTGTTAAGATGTATGTTGCGGTCATCACACAGGAACATGGTAAACAAACTGGGCACATGTAGCATTTCCTATCCTTTAATGATATCGTTGACAGTGAGAACTGTGTTAGGGCCAGATAAGTGAGGAGAAGAGGCGAACCGGGAGGCAGAAAGGTGTGGGAGCTAAGACAAATGTAAAATGAGTTGTCCCACAAGGAAAAGGTTTTAAACGATGATCTGATGAATTGTTTCTTTTATAACGAGGAGGAATAAGCAGGATAAAAATTCAATTTAGTCTATAGGGCACAAATAATATTAAAAATGTATATGTGGCCTCTCTTCTAAATCTCTGTCCTCAGGATCAGTGTGCTGTTAATTTTTCTATTCTATCCATTTTACTGACCCAGGCCCTTTGTAAAGATCTGGATACTGATGTCAACGGTTAATGGTTGTGGTACATACATATATACATAAAACTTTATTAATGTGTCTTGGAATGTCTAGCCGATGGGGTTAAGAACCCCTCTACTAATTGGGGACACCTAACAATATAATATAGTTACCTAACAATATAATATAGTTAAAAACCTACTAGCTATCAACTAATGAAATAATTGATTTAAAAAAGATTAAGAATTACAAAGGATGCTTAACCTCGTTAACAGCAGCAGATAGTAATGTGGATCTAGTTTAAATGCTTATGTTAAAAACTTTGATTTATTACTACCCTCTCAAGACTAAAGCGAACCATCGTTATTCCACAACTTTGGTCCCAGGTATGTGAGCGAGCGTTTACCATATTTATTGGTCCTAAATCTGGGAATGGCGAACTCTGCCGTCCTCAAGTTGTAGGGTGAGCAATGCGCGTGAAATAGCTCGGATATTTTGATGGGGCATAGTTTGTGTTTGACCTTATACATAAGGATCTGATCTGATCTGCTTCACAGTTCTTTTGTAGACACTGCCGCCACTTGGTTTTGATAAAAACAGTCATGCAAATGCTTCTGTTCATGGACGGAGAGTTATTTATGAGCATGACGCAGCCACGTGTGCATGACTGCTGCATGTTTCCCATCATACACAAACAGAAACTATTCTGATGAAGGAATTGCATAAACATAAAACCTCAACCATCTTTGTTTGCGCTTTAACAGTACAAAGTTTCAAATCAACGTGCACCTTAGTATTTTTATTGCATTTTTCTGATTATCATGTAGAGTGGTTCAGTTAAGAAAAAAGTTACGTGACTCTTGACGTATATTTGACAAGAAAGTGGGTCATTGGAAATGCATTTCGGATATTGAAAGTATCTAGCTAAGTTGATGGGAAAAAAATGTTCGCAGAAGAAGGATTTTCTTGCACTCTTAACCCCCAATTAACATGATTCCACTGAATATAGAATTAGCCGAAACGATGTTCATGTCATTCCAGACATCATTCCCCGGGGTGGCACCCCTAGGGTTTTCACTTTTATAAAAAGTAGCAGGAGTAAATGGAATTGTACCTGACTCAGTAATGCACCGCGGATCAATGCCGTGCGGCAAAGCCGCATGTGGGGCAGGGTACCGGAGGGTGTATCCCCCTCCTGTTAGGAAAATTTGAACGTCGAAAGATGTATTCTGGTGCACTTTCAGGGCTCAAAACGTGATGTTTAATAGGTCAAAATCGACATCATTATAACAATTTTTCATCAAAAAATTCCATTGATTTTTTTTTCTTCAACTTTCTTCAATCATTGTTACATAAAATAAACTCTACAGTGTTGGTGAGGATTGTTTAAAATGAGTCTAACTTGAACAGACTGTTCATAAAAATATTCTAAATTATACTTATCTCTTAATCTATGCCAAGGACATTTTTTAAATGATTACCAATTTTAAACCTCACTGACTTTTGGTTACAGTTACTAGACGAAACAAGACATTGAAAAATTAACACTATCTCTTTTTGAATTTACAAGTCACTGTCGTTGAAATCACTCTCCCCCATTGCACTGTCTCCATCACTTTCATCACAACCAGAATCGTATTGTGCTAGGCCTAGCTTAATGATAGCCTGTTCTTCTTCTTGTTCCACCTCCTTCTGACTGATCTCTTCTATGTCAACCACAATGTCTATCTGAGTGGACACATTCGTACACTACTCTGCTGGGTCTGAAGTTTTGCCAGCCTCTGACTGTCCAGTCGTGAACTTTCCTTTTCACAACTTGTAACGTTTACTTGACAGCCATTTAGCAGTGGTCTTTTGCAAAATACTGTCACATTCGGTAGAATTTGTATTTGGACCATTTAGAGAAATGTTTAGAAGACTCCCAAGCATCTCTACCCCCTGCTGGATCCACTTGCAAAATTTTAGACTTTTCTAAGTTAATTACCTATGTTATAACAAAGCAAGAAGAGAACTTTTATACTATCCTTTTAAGTTCTGTGTATGGCTGGCCAACGCACCCAGTGAATATTATCACACCTAGTTTTTAATTTTTTGTTGGCATACACTGGGTTATGCTTAACTGTTAGCAGCCTGAAAACTCCAAAATCGAATTTTAGATATCCACCTCAAGCTTCCCCATGGCATACTTATGCCTAAGTTCCAGTGATGAAGATTAGCAAGTTGCCAAGGAAACAAAAATAGCTTGAAAGACGAAAGAAAAATAATAATAATAATAATAACAATACAGAAAATTAACACTACTTCAAACTGAACAAAACTGTCACATAAGGATGCTCGTCTTTTCAGGCACTTCATTTGTCTGCCAAAATTGTAACCCTTTACCTTAAATGTATGTTTGTTCATTGAAAAGTTTTCCACTTAATTGTAAAATAAAACGGTTTGTGTGATTTAGTTTAAAAATTACTCTTGTGCACCATGCTGTTCCCTTTTTAACATATTCTAAGAAAAAGCTGTCTGCGATGATGACAAACTTCTCCTGCAATTAAAAAGTCGGAAGGTGAGCAGCTATTTAAGACCAAACCTGTGATTCTGTTGTATTTATTTTATATTTACAAAACGTTTGTTAGCTCGTTTTTCCAGTAAGGCCATGTATACATTAATAATTGATATTACAATTTAAAAAGCACATATAAATTAAAAGCTTGATCTTTTAAACAGCAATTTGGACCACGCTTAAGCACTTTCCATTCGGATGGATTACATATACCATCATTCAGCCATCCACTTTTCCATTTGGTCAAGGGCCTAAAGAGAGAAACCATGAATGTGTTGTGCATATCAGACATTCCTATGTGTAGGGTTTTTACGTCTTTCCAGACAACACCACCTGCAGATGTACAATATGGTGTACAAATGTCATCCCACATTGCCTGGACCTAACAAGAGGGAAGTACGTCTATCCCATACCGTAGAGATAACAACCAATAAGAAAGTTAACTACTCGTTCCATATTCGATTTTTGATATGCAATGGTTAGTATTTCACAAGAAAAATCTCGGCGATCCTTCCACATTTTCCTGCCGAAAATAGGTTACGTAATCTCAACAGACGCTCTTACATTGTACAAAAAATTTCAGTATCAACTATTTTTGTTCAACACTATAAAAATAAGCACAATATTACAAGACGAATTTCAATAGGAGATCTGCACTTGTCATGAAAATCTTTATTTACATTTATCCTCATCAAAATTATATCACCTTGGGTATTGTTTACCTGTGGTTAAACTTTTTTTCCAGTATTTCTTCACAAATATTTGAAATTCGTGGGTCACAATGTTGCTGTAATAGTCATTATTTTATACCCACTACTGGTGACAACTCTTTTTCACTTCTTTCTCTTTCTGATTTTTTTGCCCGAATCATCTTCTTGATTGTCTTGGATATTTATCTGGAACCAGTAAACAAATGGCAAGGGAAGTCTATCACACCCACATCCAGAAACGTTTTGTGTGGTAACAAAGAAAGATTGAGCATCCACATTAATAGAAGACACTTATGTACGAAATACGATGTAACACGTCCGGCAATTCCGGCAGCACTTCTGGTGATAATGGTTCAATGGGAGAAATTTCCTCAGTCATCAGAAGCTTTTTTCCTGAAGACAATGTTAGCTGTGGAAATAGCCCACGTTCAATATATTAAAATTCTAACATGACGTAGAGGCTTTCTGGTCATTTTTTCTATATTTAGTTTGGTTTTCTTTGTGCTCAAGCCTTTTCTCGAACCCACCTGGTCTAGAAAGTGGGAGATGCACCCAATGTCAAACATTTCTGGGTACAATATGGACACCGTTTGTAACGCCTTGGTGTTACTGGCATTCTGCCCCTCGTTGCTGTTAAGAAGCAGCCTTCCATTCAGCTTTCGATGGATACCTCAGTTATAATGTGAGCTAACTCGTCGCCATTAACTGAACTGTTTACAAGTAGGGTAATGCAGGGTAGGGTAGGTCGGAGTATAAGAGTTTTAACTAAGTTAAAACGACCATATTTTCAAGGGTGGGGGTCAGTTCTTCGTCAGAAGTAACGTGTGCACCATGGTGAGTTACGGGGCCATAGGTTATCTTCAGTGAAGGACACTAAATGCTTAAATAAATCTTTGGGGCGTTCGTCGACCTCACGTTTGATGTTGGAGAAATCTAGGAAGCGTGCACTAGTAGACTGGAAGGCATAGTGGGCCCTTATGGCTTGCCAAACGGATCTGATGGAAGTTGAATTTTTCACGATTGAGCTACGTGAAATAACGGAGCAAAAGTTGGCTATCTGGCCCAACATGAGCTCAGGGTGTAAGTTTTTCTGAAAGGCAGTACGTTGGCGAGTGGTAGGAATGTTGTCGCCATCAGGCTTAAGTCCTCTGTTGGGAGCAGTAGAAGACTTTTTCAGCCACGTAAAATTGTCAGCTAAAAACGAGGCAAAATTAACATCGAGAGAAAGGGGATATTGCAGATTGTGTCTCCAAGCTTCGAATATAGTAATGGTTTCGTTCTTTTTGAGGGACCACTGCTTTGGAGCTCTATTAGAATTCATGATGTGACGATAAGAAAAGGTGAAGCGATTTTCTCCTTGAGATGAAAATAATGGCTTGTAAGAGTTCACTTAATTGACCACAGGGTAGGAAGACTCGTCATTGCTTGAATCAGCGAGACGGTCTCGGGCTCTTGGAGACGTGGGTGTAGCCAACACACCAGCAATAATGTAAGTCGTAAAAGAGTTTTAATTCAACCGGAACAACTTGAACTCTTAACCTTATTTACATGATGTTGCCAGTGGTTTCTAGGATAAAGTAACAAACATAACACATTAAGAGCGGAACGACTAATTACAACAATGGAAATAACGTAGGGCATACAGGTAACATAGGAAATAGGAGATAAACGAAGACAGAGGACATTACCTGACGATTTGGGAATACGGCGAACAAAGTAAGATAAAGAACGTAACTTAGTTGTAACAGCTAGCGAACTCGAGCAAGATTCTTTACGATTTGCATAACCGGCGCGAAAGTCGAATTACTATACGTAAACACGCAGACTGGGACTAGGCTAGGGATTGGTTACTACAGTGGGTAAGGAGTCGCTCCCACCACGCCAATGTTGAAGTGACAGGAGCGTCACAAAGAAGGAACTCTAACAGCTTTAATATCAACGAAATCGCTTGTACAACAAGATGGATGCGATAATCAGACAGGAGGGAAAACCGGCACGCACATATCATATAACACAATGCCGCAGGCACTGCCTGTTGGCACTGATATCCCTGTTAAACAACATTCACACCGATACCTCGCAACTCCAGCTTTTTAATTTGATAAGAAATTCTCACGTTTAAAGGAGAGAGAACCAAAACACAGCTGGTGTTGACTTTGTTAAGCTAGTTGAGTGTAAAGGGATCTAGCTGAAAAATCAGAGATTTTCCAATTCCCGTAGAAAGTACACACAAACAATCGTGCTTTTCCATGCAAACTGCATGTAAGGCTTCTGTCTGCTCCCTCTTTAAGACTTCATGCCAGCTTATGAGTCGACAGCGGGCAACCCCCAGCCGTCCCAAAAAAAGAGTGTAGGGACCACAGAGCAAGCACCAAGTTTTCCTTTTCTTTTTTTCCCCCAGTGGGCCCTGGCCTACATAATAAACAAGTACCCCCCTCTTCCTTACCACCAAGAACGTAACACACACACACACACACACACACACACACACACACATATACACTTACAAGCATGTATAATATTCAGTGCTCCTTGTGAGTCATTACCAAATTCTAGGAAATAACCGGCATGCAGAGTGCCTTTTACACAACTAATGGCACCTTTCTTTTGTAAGTGAATTTCATTGCCTTCTAAAGCGCAGGGAATGTTCACCTTGCTATGGTCAAAATGAGGATTCCTTGCTCTAGTACAATTAGGATACAAATGGTATTGTTTATGCCAAAAGTTTTGTTATATGCATGGTGACACGAGATCACACGAGATCATGCTCCTAGTGACAGATTTTAATTTACCCTTGCATCCACCAGCACACTTCTTGATCCCGTTCCTGAGCTCAACTAGTTCAAACGGGGTGCTGAGTGTTGTTTGTACCATTGGCTTTGGCGGCTTGCTTTTTCTAGTTGTAATTTTAAATGTGTGAGAAGATGCTTCTGTAGTGTATTGCGATGAACCATGATCGCTTGCCACTACTTCTCACGGGGTATGTTTTCATGCTTCACTTTAACTGACTCAAAGTCATAATGTCTGGTGACTTGTTACGGTGCTTTCTTGCGGGCTTTTTGGCACCTGCACTTTTGTTGACCGGGTACGTTTTCAATGCAGTCAGGTTGTCTTTTTGTCATTGTTGTGGTACCAGTTTAAATATGCTGTAATGCTCCTGTTATGAGCAGCTACTGCGGCTGTGTGCATTGGCTGTCACAAACATTTCTATTGTTTGAATCTGTTTTCTTTATGTGGGGCATTTGCCGAAACTTGCTTTCACGAGAAAATTGTTTTTTTTAAACCTGACACGGGTGTTTTTCTCTTGGCAAAGCCTCAGTGCCTTTTCACCGAGCAGGGATAGATCTTTTTCCGTGCACAAATCAGGTAGCGGTTTTAAGTTAGTTATAACATTTTTGCGGAGTTGAGTTTGTTGGCGGGGCAGGACAATGGCCGTAAGCATTCTCCAAATTCACTGGATCAACCAGAACTTTCAAATTACTGGTGGCGTGATTGTGATGACCAGGTTGGTTGTCAAAATAATCACCAGTTTCCTTTATGGACTTTTGGTATTCAGGCCTTAAGAGATATGCACTTGCAAGCGAATTGTTACAGATGACTTGTAGTTCCGCGACAAACCGTTACACATCAAGATCTTTTATAGCTCTGGGAACGGTGTCCTTTAAAGTTTATCCTAGGGGGTGGGGCAGTTCCTTTGTAATTCGGGGGGGGGGACCCCTCTGGAATTTCCATAGAAATATCACCCACGCCCCATACCCTCTGGAAAGTTATTTTCTTCCTTTATAGGGATTCAAGAGTTGATAAGACACTAAATCCAAAGGCTGTGTCTATAGGCATTCACTTGTTAATTTATTTTATACATGATCATAAAGTTGTGTTAAGTGAACAACATAAATTGGCTCAAAAAAACATGAACTCAATTTCTTCATACAAGATCCTGTCTAAAACTTACACAATATTGCTAGTACTCAAAGGGGGTTCACATTTTATGTAAGCTCTCAAGTTATTAAAAAATGTTTTGACAAAAGTGACCTCTCAGCAAACTGCAATGTTACGATCAACGAGAAAAAAATGAGAAATGAACTAGAAGCTAATTTTCTGTTTTTACCTGGCCATATTTCAGCCTCCTGTGACAAAAGCCACGTGATTTGTCACTTTGTTCGTTGACAGTGCACTCCAGTTTCTTGGATCGATTGATCGCCGAACATTTGTGGTATGTTTGTAGCTGGTTACCAGTGTACCATGTTACTATTTTTTTTCCAACATTGGTCTTACTTTTCATTGACGTTTTTTTTCCTTTTGATGGAAAGTCCTCAGCTTTAAATTCAACAGTCTTAATCTCTGAATACATTCCAACATGGTGTTTTAAGGACACATGCACTTCAGTATACTGTATACTGTTTGTAACAACTTACCAAGGACTGAACCAAATATATTTTTTTGTAAGGCTAATTATATACTGATCCATAGGTCAAGTGAGAGCCAATTTTCGTCAAGAGGAGCCTAACTGTAATGTAAATGCTTAGGTTTTTCTCATCTCACCACAAACTATTGTTTTGTTCTGCTTTACAGTAGGCTCTCGTCACAGCAGTTCAAAGGTTTTCTGGTGGACGAGTTATGCCATCGGCAAAAGCCTCAGCTACATTTAAGCTATGTACAGCAAGGTCTTTCAGATAAAACACAAAAACTTGGTCGTCATTTTCATCGTATCGTTGCACCTCCCCATAGTACCATCCAGGATCCCAGTTGGTCCCTTCAAGATCTTTCTCAGTCCAAAGAACACCTACAAGCGTCCCAACATGTGTTAGAAAATTAGGAGAATCACCACAATCTTGTAATTTTGCTGGCAGCTTCCTCTTTCTTTGAGATCTTCGAACATTTTTGGTGAATTCATTCTGCTAACCTTTTGAAAGCTTCGCACTCAATGTTTCCTTTTTGAAAGGATTAATTGCCGTTTCTCCTAAAACAGTTAAATGCGACTTTTCATCTTGCTCCTTTAGTTTGTTTTCTAATATGGCAATCACTGTGTGGATCATGCATTGACTAATTTACATCGATTGTAGGTTTCCTCTGCTTTAACAAACCATGGACACAACCGGTTTGGGTGGTCAGTGTTTTAGTTTTGCCCTTTGCAAATGATCTCGTGTGATGATACCAGGAAATGAAAGTGGCTTGATTTTGAGAAATTTCCCTAGCTGCTGCAATGAGATGAAGAATACATAAACGTTCACAGGGAAAAAGCTGCTTCTGGTGACCTGCCTTGAGCAGTCCAATGCGAGCAATTAATTCATCTTTTGAACCATCCTCCAAAACATCATGGGCTCGAAGAATAGCTGTTAGATGTGCCACTGATAGCTTCATTAGGCCTGCTGTGGAGTTAGGTATAGAAGAAATATTTCCATCTTATAGGTCCCATTCAGATTGCATGTTTTTGTAAAGAAGGTTAGTATGAAGGTAACCGTATCCTTTCAGTCAGGTAAATACAACCCTTACCAAGTGCTTCATTTTTTTGTCAAGAATAAATGAGAGGTGACGAAAACGTAAGGTAACTCGAGCAGAAGATCCTATTGGGCAAGTTTGTCAGTGCTGTTTTCTTGATTGACAACGTGGAACAATGTCAGGTTCACAGGTTGAAGGTTGGAATCAGGGTCCCATTGGAGTGTCAGTAGGTTAAGGGTATAAAATGAAAATTGACAGTATCTAACATTTCTCGTTTAAGGAAGGGAACAATTATCCTCCGAAGCCTTCATTATTTATTATTTTATAATTATCTTAGTCTGCTGTAAAGTTTTTGGCTCTAGGCTGTAGTTTTAGATTCAAATCCCATCTGGGACTCGGATTTTTTTTCCGAGTCCTCTTCAAGTTAATATCATGTTGTTGTTGTTTCATCTTTAATATACTCACTTTGGAGGTTGGTTGGCCGCATCTTTGATATGCTTTAAGGTGACAGCGCGATGCTGTTAGTGAGTTCTTCACTTCTTGTGTGCCTATCATTACTTGGCTGTGTAGCCGCGTGATGCGGTTCCAGTCGAGACCCACAAATTGGCCCTTGCTCACCATAGAGTCTCCAGTAGCTCAAGTGGTTAGAGCATCCGACTAGATCACGGAGGGTCGTGGGTTCAAATCCCATCTGGGACTCGGATTTTTTTTCCGAGTCCTCTTCAAATTAATATCATGTATGTTAAATAGCTGTATCTTTTTTTCTAGCCTTTTCTAGCTCCAGGTTTTAGTTCTAGTTTTTATTAACATTTGTAAGTTTTGTTTTTCTATTTTCTTTTAATACTTAAGAGTCTTTTTGTAGGCCATTCTAATGTTATAAGGCAGGTTTTTATCGCTCTGAAGCACTATAAGACATTATTTTTATGGATATAGTGCTATATAAGTATATAAACATCATTACTATTATAATTAATTAGGACTGAATGCTGCAACTCGTATTCAAGGAAATTTTGTCGAAAGGCGCATGCAGCAGTGTCACGGCCATGTCCCAGAAAAAACAAAGGAAATGCAGGCCACTGTATGAGAGGGAACTAATGTGGACGGACCCAAAGAACACATGAACCCGCCCCTTTGCACCTCTACACTGAGCTCTCCAGAGAACCAGACCATCCTCTTTGGGGCCCGGCAGTTAGTGCTGAAGGTGGCAGACGTTCATAATTTTATATCCTACTAAGGCCAAGAACTTGTGCCTTAGCCCTATGTAAAGGACTTGGGCATACTATTAGATTCCAACTTATCGTTCAAGAACACATGGCAGCATTACTGTCCACGTTGTTGGTTACCTTATATAGGATTAATAAGATCAAACATCTCTTTTCTAGGTCACTGTTGCTTATCATGTTAAACTCCTTAGAATTTGGTAAACTTTTGTATTTCTCCACCATGTGGTGGCACTTCTAAACGGAACATGTTAAATTACAGCTTCTACAGAATTTTGCTGCATGAATTTTGTTAAATAAAAGAAAATACCATTACGTTTCTCCTGCTGTACATTAGCTCGGGTGGCTCTCTGTCAAAGATCATCTTAACCTAAGGGAGGTTACTTGTGTGTTCAAGATACTCAACGGACTACAGTGTTGGTCAAAATTGTTGGGACACTTTTGTCTCTCCCTGTCCCCTCAATGTCGGTGTACAAGATTTGGTGACTGAACCGCAACAAAAAACTTTGAGAGGGACAAGGGGAGCACAAGAAGGAAAAAAACAGCGTTTGGTTTGAGTGTCCCAAATAGTTTTGTCTGAGAGTGTGTCGCGGAGGAATTTAAAGGCGTGTTGACAAATATGGAGGTTAATCGGTACGTCGGTCACAACTACGGGCTTTTGGTTTGTTGGGCCATCCATTGTTTCCCGAGTGTTTCTATAGCAGTGAACTGAGTTATTGTGGCATAATACCATAACATAATGTCCAGTTTGCAAAAATTTTTTTTAGGAGTAGAGTATTGGAAAATAAGAACAACTAAGTGTGCACTAAACTGCACACAAATAGCTTTCAAGTGGGCGATTGATAGCATGACAATAGCTTGTTGCATACTATCTGCGTAAAATTCAGGGCTTTCACATGCGGAGAGTCACTTGAAGGTGCCACATTTCTGGAGAAAATGTGTGGAAAATAATAAAGAAGGCCTCTTTGCCAAGAAAGAGTGTAATAAGGAAGAAGGCCCAAAGGTATGCCTTTCTAAGTTAACCCATTCGCTCCTAGAGATTTTGCCGAAAAACGCGTTTTGAAGCTAGTCGAGTGGTTTTCTGGTCACTGTCGTGCTATAAAGAGCTAAAACTTACCACAAACTGGTTTACAGGTCGAACACTTCGCGGTCTTCCGATCCAGATGCAAAATATCAGCTTGCGAAGTTCGGGCATGCGCAGAAAGCAAAATTTCGACATAGTTTTTGGGTTTAAAAGTGACACAGCAGTCTTGACTTTTACTTTTCGCTTTCTCTCCTCCCTTCTTTTTTTGCTTTTCTTGCCTCATTTTTTTTTTCTCTTGCTGGGCATTTAGTAGGCTTGATTTTGGTGGGAAGAGTTTTTAGGAAAGCTTTTAGGATCTTAGGATTAGGCGAAAGGAAAGGTAGGTGGGTAATGGGACAAGATTTTCATGGAGATTTTCAGGTCAATGTCACGTGGTTTTTTGCTTGTTTCTCCGGTGTCCTTGACTGAATTGTGCTCATTCTGGTATGGTTTGAAAGATCTCTTCACTCTGCACAAGTTAGTGAAGAAAGTTGTCCTTGACCGTTAAAACTGATGACGTCACAATGGGTAGAAAGGACCTGGATCCGCACGGGCGGTTACGGGCGGTTCAGGGGCGAATGGGTTAAGGGCAAGAGGCAAAAGACAACTGAAACAGCAAATAAGTCATTTCGAGAGAAAGGGGAAACTTTTCCTCCAAACTGGAAAATGTAACAAGCCAGGATTATTCTCAAGACATATCAGCGAGAACAGTATCCTGCTTTCTAATTTTCTTAAGATACTATTGACTACAAGCGCTGAAAAGGGCGTTCTACAATAGTGTTTGGTCCAATGCAAAAACGTTTCTTAGATATTCCAGGCTACCGCTGTGAAATCAACAACTTTTAAGTTTTTTATATGTATGTTAATTTGGCCTTGCGCTAAATAGTGATATGGGTTCTCATTCTTTACCCCAAATATACACGTTCCTGAATAGCTATAAACCAAACTGTGGGAGTTGAGGTACAAAACATGAATCATATCAAACGAGGACAATACCTATCCTTAAAACCTCAACAAAAAAAGCGTAAAACTCGACATGTACACGGGTCACCGTACATTAATTCAATTAAGATATTTGCAAGTTTCTTTCAGCAAACAATCATGTCACCCTGATCAAAGTCTTGATAACTTGTCTTGCATGTATCAAGGCGCTATAAACCTAGACAGTTTCAATAAGGTGTGAAAGAACCTTATCCTTTTCTTTCTTATTCTATTATCTATACCAGAGAGGTCTTAGGAAATGTCCTGGATAGAATGGTGACCCATTATGGTGACCCGTCCAATAGTTTCACCACCGGTACAACATATTAGCGGCAAGATACGTTCCTGTGAAATAATGCGCGCAGTTTTGACTCATCCGTTGTTTGCTCTTAAAACCCAATGGGTACAAAGCTTTTTTAAAACCTTGGAATGTTGTAAGTAACACTTCTTTCCTCTATTGATTGTCTTCTCTCTTTCTCTCCTTGAAATCTCTAATTTTCTCCTGAACCATGGCTCCAAAACGTGTATGTACGTGCCTAGCAATTTCCCGCCACTAGAGCTAACGAGGAGTCCCAAATCGATGAAATGGAAACCATTTTTCTTGAATGTTCTCCAAATCTCTTACATTCACTCTTCACATTTTTGTTCTCACTGAATATGCCCCTCTCCCTCCCCAAAGTTGAGCCATGCACTGAGACAGGGTGTTGTTCTGAACATTGGAGAAATATAAAAAAGGAAAACAAAATGAGCCTGCCTCTTCTAAATTGAAGAACCAGACAGGGTTTCCCTGTTTATTGTAACAAAAAATGGTGAGTTATTCACTTGTCTAGTAAATTCACACAGCATCTACTGAGTTCTTCTCTTGGTTACTTACTTCTTGTTAGTAGCCATGGATACTTTTTTAGCTGGCCAATAGCTCCTTTTTTAAGGTTATAAGTTCATCATTCTTATCTCTGAAATAAAATTAATGGACAAAGACAGTTTAAAAAATAAAGGTGCTTTGTGTAAGGACATAAGTGCTACCTCTATTGTCTGGAATGCCTGATTTTTTCACTAACAGGCCTGGGCTGAGTGGTAACAAATAAAGAAAATGTCTGTTTGTGCTACTGACTGTCTAAACAGCTGTCTGGCTGATCAATGTTCTAACCAACTTACCAACTGTCTTACTGATTGTTGTAGCGATGTAATTTTGCAACATGAAGCATCTTCGATTAACTCCAGTGAGATACGTGGTGGACAGTCTGTAAAGATTGATGGTAAATGTGTGCTATCCAAAGAGCTTTGGATTAATTCGCTTGTAATTGTCTGGTGGTTGCCCAGCTGAAAATTGAACAACAATAGTAACTTATACTTAATTTCCCTAGTCAGCTGTTTCATGAAATTTTCCAAAACTTTGATAAAAGTGTCTTGAATTTTTTAAAAAGAAATATTAAAAATTTAATGCCCACCAGAAAGGAAATGGTGTTGAAAACCAAGACGCTCTGTTAATTTTGCAACAGTGACAAATCAAAATTTTGTTAAAGAATTGCATTCAAAAGTTTACAAGTAAACTTCAACACCTGGTAATGAGTCATAAAAGCAGTTGAACTCCCTATATTTACCTGCAGGCTGACGTGTCCAGTCCGGACATTTTTAAGGACAAAGAAAGGGCCCGGTTGTACCTACTGCATGACATGGATGCGGAATCAGAATGCTTACACTGAATACGTTTCGACCTGGTCATCCCCAGCCATTAGTTTATTGGTGGTGTGGACCTTAGTTCTCCAATATGCAAAGCATCGCTGCAATCTTTGAAATTGTGGCAAGAACTTTCAGCTTTTTTCAAGTTAACCAGAAGACCAAATCCCTTAAATTGATTCCTTGGTCCTCTGATGACAAGAACACTGGTTCATCACTCCTCTCCATGAGAAGCACTTATTCTGCGCAGTTCTTAATACCCAGGGAGTGATCAAGCATACATCCTGGGGTGTTTGAAAGTGTGAAGTACACAGGGATTAGATGTAATGAGCTGATCCAATCATAAACCGTTTCTATCGATTGTGAAAGTAATTAAAAGTGTTTGCAAGTCCCTCTAACAGTGCATGAGTGATTTTGGTATTAAGCTATTTGCATTACTTTTTGCTTCGAGCTAAAATGTTGTTAACCTTTTAATAATGGCGTTGAAGTCCCTATCTTAAGAGGATGTCATGCATGGCAGAAGACTCGAGATGCGCCTGATTTGCGATTTATCTGGGCGAACAGGAAACTTACCAAAATACTCTCAAGGGTAAGTTGTACACATTGCTCCAGGCGTTTCTGCGTCTTCCTCCAGCCGACTGTGTTTCAGAATTTTCGTCATAAACCATAGGCAGAACAGTGGTATTGGAAAGATTGGTGCACCAGGCATCATTAGTGGTCTGTGTACCAGGGCGTACAGGAGCTTGAGCAAAGGTGGCACCAGGTATTTGCTGTCCTGAAAGGTCTGTCACAATTCCCGCTTGCTTTTTGTTTTGTACCAGCGATTCAATAAGCTCTGTCTGCTGTTGTAGGTGGTTTAAAAACTCTTTGCTGATGCGTGCTGATTCTTGTGAGACAAAACAAGGGAAGTTATTGAAGAAAAAAACTCAATATCTTAATACCAAGACTTCTGTATAGGAATTTTTGTACACTTTTTTCTTGAAAATATTGAGAACTGGTTCCCCTAAAGTGCATTTTCTTTTGATCTTCTTGCACACCTTTGTCCTTTTATGTTTTTAGCATACGAGTCATTATTTAAATGTGTTTGCTCCTATATCAAGTTGATTTAAATTTAAAGAAGAAAAGAATGCTCTGAAAAGGGCATTTTTGAAATGGGCAATCAAATAAAATATTATTTGTTAATGAAGTATGAAAACAAGTCAGGTCAAAGCTGTACAGGTTTTTTGGGATCTCTTAGAACACAACATATTTACATTTAAAACAATGTTCAGATATTTTATTTGTCAAAATTCATTGCAGGAATTGGTCTTTGACTGTGGCTACTCAGTAGTCCAATCCAGACAATTGTAGCAAAGATTTACAAAATGTTGCGCAGTTATATAAAAATCAAACAAATTCAAAATGAGAATGTCCACTGCAAATGTAGCACAAAAGAGCAAGTAATATAATTATTATTTATTATCTACAGTTTTCTTGTTTGTAGGTTGCCATGAAACCAGACAAGGGTTTAGAAAATGTTAAAATATATACATGTTGTCTTACTCTTTGATCTGCTTATGTCTAACAAAAGAAATACACGATTCTTGCTTAGAAGTAAATAATGGCACATTTTAACAAACTGAATAACATTAAATTTTCATTTACATATTCATTTTCCCTCAAGCAAAATAAGATTAGTCTTGCTAACAACTTCTTTGGGAAAACTTAGTGTTTTGGACCACCTGGTCCTCAGACTGTGATACTAAGGTAATATTCGTCTTACTTGACTTGAAGGTAGTGTGAACAATTAATTTTAAACTTAATCGAAAATAGTATTCCCTGAACTTGCATGACAACCTTTTGTTCACTAAGAAAAGTTCATTTTTCCACGAACATAAATTTGTACGGACTATTAATATATTACTAAAGAAACCACTGAAATTTGACAGTTAAAGATTATTCCATGCATCATTGGAGCGGTATCAACAGGAAATTCACTAGTTTTTCGGCGCAAGCATTTGCTCTTATCGGCATAGAGCTAGTTTCAGTGGTGTTGCTGTCACCCACATGTTGTTCCACATCATTTGCTTTAATCACGTCCATGATAACTCCATGAAGATGCGAAGGATCTGGGGACATGAATAGCCCGAACTTGAAGAGTACTTCCCTAACATATACAACAGCAAAAAGACCTAGCAAATTTTTCTGTGAGACGTCTTGTTAATTTATCTCATTATTCAGGAAATATGTTAGATCAATTCTGCTTGAACATGGAACAACTACAAGCAAAACGTGAATATTTACAAAGTACTTGAATAATATTTAGAAACAAGGGAAAAACCTTTTTTTTTACCAAATTGGGGGGTTCGAGGGAGGAGGCACATCCAGTTCAGTAGGGTGGAAGGTGAAGTAATTATTATAAGGGACCCTTCTTTTCTCGCAAATATAACAGTTTTCTTTTCAGAAAATGTGCTTGAGGGCTTCATGCCCCGATATCACTGTCCCTCATACTGAATAAATCATGGAATACTTTCTTTTTAATTAATTGCTAACTCTAGTACCTAAGCAATTTGACTCGTCTGGAAGGTAGTCCAAGGCATCATTCTCCCAAATTCCAATGAATTTATGGTTATAGATGTCCTTGTTGTCGCTGATATTTTGAGGCTGCTGATGTCAGGCTTCTCCGTTTTCCCGCTTTGTGGGCCAGCAACATCTTTGCACTTGCCATCCTGGGTTTTGAACTGCCACCTTCTGGTTTCTTCACTACCAATTCGTTGCCCTGGCTGACACAGGTACCGTGGATTGTTTTTGCCTCACTTTTTTCTTTCAAATTTCTGTCTTGAAAAGTTAAAATGTTCTGATTTCGCTTTGAGATATATTCTTTGTACTGTGTTGCTTCGGACGCTTTGTCAGGGCTACCCGATTCCTTCTGCTGGGGGGATGTCGTCTTCAGCGCCGTTCGATTCTTGTTTGGATGTTTCATTGCCTAAAATGATTAGGGTAAATTAAATTGATACACTCGCTGAGGCTACCTGCCTGACGGTCGGAGAGGGTCTTGAATAGACTATAATTTCTGCCTGCCTTTGACAAACTTGTGCAGAATTTCAACAAAATGTCCTGCCCTAACCGCCAGAAAGTACTGTACCTCTCTAAGGCCTATATCTAGCGGTAAGGAAAACAAATAATACTTCGCAGCTGAATGCGCTGGAGTGCAGGATTCAACTAACAAGAATTTTGTGTGGAACCCGAATTTGGACTCAGCAAGTAATGTATTATAAAGTCACTTAAAGAGCTTTTAAAGGTTAATTCTGTTAAAAGGTTTGTCAGCCAGGCATTGAAGTAATATGGGATCAGGCTCCTTCTTCCCTGAAAAGAAAAATTAACTGGGGAGCGGTGTCATGAAATTCATGGGAATTCAAACAGAGAAAAAGAGTAAAATAAAAATAACCTCTCCAAACATTACAGCTTATTTAATGGCTATGCATAAATGCAGATTTTCAGACATGATCCAAGGGTCGTGATTCGACCTTTCATGATTCGACACTTATTATGCAACGTATGGCTTCTGAGCATGCAAACGCAGTTGCAAAATAAAGGTAGGTGATAGTTTTGCGTGGGATCCGTAACAGTGACAGAAACATCTGACTGGCAAGGAAAGCTTAACACCAAAAGACATAGGTATAACTAATCCAGAATCCTGACAAATGCGTTTTACCTGGAGGAAAGCTAATTTTTGGGAAAGTGGTGACATTTGTAATATGAGCATGATCAATTGCCGAGTTTGAATGGATTTTTGTAGGCGATTTCATGCTGGACGAAAATGATATAAGTACTGCGAAAGGTGAAGAAGTCTGTTGTTTTATTGTTTATCATCCTCAGGGAACCCAGGGGCAGTCAGTCGGGCCGGGAGAAATGGGGCAACGAAAGTTTTCAAACACTGGCGGAAGAGCCCCTGGGTACGGACTCTCACCGGACCATTTCCAAACAGTCAAGTGAATACTGGCTCCTGATTGGGCACAAAAAAATGCATTGTATTATTGTGCCCAATCGGCGAACAGATTTTCGTGAGTTCGTACACGACGGCTATTATCTCGCCACAGTTGCGCAGTTTATTCACCAAGTTTCCTAACCAGACAAAGGAACTACCGATGAGTCGAAAAATGTTTCGGATGCTATCAGCGTGAGCAATTCAATTTGCACTGAGAAAATTCAGTTTCTGACGGATCACAACGTATTGTAAATAATAGGAAGTTTAAGATGTGGCGGCACCGGACAAGAAATAAAAAACAAGGCAAAAGAACAACTTTGCCCGTGCATCACACTTTGTTGTACATTTCTTTGCCGTCACTGCAGGACTACCACGTGAAAATGCCTAGTTTCACATTTTGTGAAGGATGTAAACAAGCAATGAGTGACAAATTTTCTTTCTCTTAATGAACTTGGATATGGTTGATAGAAATTCAGCTCCAGAAGAGTTCACTTGCTTTTACAAAAGTAAGCGAGTTGGAATAATCACGATAGAGACTAAAAAAATGTGAATTCCCTTTTCATGTGACATTTTCGTGGCTGTCAGTTGTTGTGGCATTTCAAACTCCCTAATATTTACGAAGACGTGATCGATGAAAGCATGAATACCTGTTGTAAGCTCAAGCTTGTATTTTATATTTTTTTACATACTGGTTAGACTTTTGGTCTTCTCGGATAAGGACCAAAAAACCGTAGGCACCTTATCATATTTCTTTATAATGATCCCGGCTAGAAAATATGGAAATTCACTTGAAAGAAAAATTGCATTTCCATTTCATTCAACTTGTACCAACCTTAATGTTTGTCAAACTAAAACGCTGTGGTGCATTTCTCTCTCCCAGTTGACTTTGCAAAGCCTCAATCTCTCATTTCTGACCCTTCACAGTCCGTTCGCTTTCCTCCACCTCATTTGTCAATTTAAGGTTTTGTTCGTATCGTGCTGCTGGGCCCTGGCAATGGGAAACAACAGAACAAACGTATATGTGATCGAGGTATATGTAATTTTCGTATGTTTTGTTTTGGCACTCTTTACTGTCATAGACCATAGCTATCGACACTACATTTGATGGGGCAAGTTGTTTTTCTCTTTCCTTGCGCGCGATTTTCCAAGAAACCTTGCCGGAAATGGGCGTTCAAAACTGTCAATACAACAATTTCCCATGGTGTACACCCTTATAGACCTTAGAAATGATGTTAAAAATATTGAAATCTTTGCAGTGGAACCAACAGAAGTGAAGACCATGGAAAATTGTCATCTATTTGTGAAAGGGAAATAAAACGGGTCATTTTGGTGGGAATTCAAGTAGAAAAGTAGTTTAATTTCTATCAGAAAGAATAACATCATCTTATGGTGTCTCGACTCAGCAATAGGAGGTTCATCTAAGGACATACCAGGCTTTGAGTACGTGTTATCTCAGGTCTTCATTGTTGATGGTTCATCATTTCAATCCCTTCAAAGTTTGTTTAGCGGCAGGGCGGAAAAGAGCTGAGTGTTAATATCTTTTTGTTTTAATGCATTTCCCTGTGTAGGGAATACTCCTGTAATTTTCTAACTCATTCCCGAAGGAAAACAGCTTTGTTAAATTATTATTTTTGTCTAAAGCACGTCTGGCTCTATGCAGCTTTGTGCGTATTTT